TATATAGACTTGGATGTGTTTAAGTCAACTAATCTAGATCGAGTTAATTTGAGTTATAAACTTTTATATCATTTTGAGTTGATTTTAATTTCAGCTTTAGTTCGTTTATTATTTCAGTTATACAAAGGGTGAGTAAAATTCAATTAGACTCGATTTTTTTTTTAAACTTTGAGTTATTAGAGTCAATTCGAATTATCAATTCGATTTTTGACTTCAAGTTGAGTTGAAATTTTAAATTTCCGAATCACTAAAAAATGGAAAATTTGACTATTTATTTTGATAATTTCACAATTTAGACTTTGATTTCCTTATTTTTAATTACTCATTTATTTTAAGTCAATTTTTATTAAATTTGAACCACGTGCTCGTAAACTATCATAAAATACATATGTACTCCCAATTCCTCTTTTTCATAACAAATTTTTTATTTTTCAATTTAGTTCCCTAACTTTCATAGTTTCTTTATTTCTTCAATTCATCATTCATTTTAAGTCTTTTTTTTATCAGATTTGAACCATATGCTCCAATACCGCTATAGAATACCTATATAAATTCAATTCATTTTCCCTAAAAATGTACCTTTTTATTTAATCCTTTAACTTTGCATTTTATTCAATTTAATCTTTTGACTACAATTGTTTACAAATTCTTTCTTCCCATTAATTCCTTGACTCTTTTATACTCTCATCAATTACTTCAAAATATAATATTAAATAACATTATAATGTGGAAAGAATATGATATATATAATGTACCTTTTTATTTAATTCCTCAACTTTGCATTTTATTCAATTTAGTCTTTTGATTACAATTGTTTACAAACTCTTTTTTCCTATCAATTCCTTGACTCTTTTATACTTTCATCAATTCTTTCAAAATATAATATTAATATGTACCATATATAGTTAAAGAAAGACAAAAAATTGAAATCGATATGTGCCATAATAATATCAGTAATTACAATTAAATTTGTATAAAAACTCAAATAACTCGACTCGATTCGAAAAAATTTGAAGTTAATTTCAACTTATAAGATGTGATTCATCAACTCGAATCTCAAAATTTTTTAACTCAACTCAATCGAACGCTCACACTTAAAGCTACATTAGAACTAGTGTTGCACATAATTCGGATTTCAATCCGATCCGGATCGGTTTTTATCCGATCCGGTTTTTTCCCATAGAAAAAAACCGGTTTATAAAATAACCGGTTCGGTTTCTAACCGGTTTGGAGGGCCGGATATCCTAACCGGTGTAACCGGTTTCGGTTTTAAAAAAACCGGTTTTTTTAAAAAACCGGTTATAAAAAAACCGATTTTAATATTCCAGATTGCTCATAGGGAACCGATTCCCCCCCAAGGGGGTACCGATTCCTCACTGAATGGTTTGGCTCCGAGATTTCCAGAATGCTCGGAGGGAACCGATTCCCCCATAGGGGTACCGATTCCCCCCTATTCAACGGTCGAAATATTTGAATTTTACACTTAGGGAACCGATTCTCTATGAGAGGGTACCGATTCCCCCACGCTCTAAGCATTTTTATTAAATGTTTTCACACTTAAACGGCTATATTATCTTCATTAATTATCACTAACGTTCAGAAGTGATTCAAGGTGTATTTAAGCAAGCTTAGAAGTCATTGATCAAAGACAAGAAACATCAAGCAACTAGAATCAAAAGAGAATCAAAGAGAAAGCATCAAACCTCAAGTTCGATAAATTCAAATACTTAATTGAAATACTTAATTAACTCAACATAATTGAAATACTTAAATACTTCCAAGTTTGATAAATTCAAATACTTAAAAACTTCCAAGTTCGATAAATTCAAATACTTAAAAACTTCAAGTTCGATAATTGAAACAAAGTTTACGATAATTGAAATAAAGTTATAAAATAAACTACATTGCCATCTCTTCTTCATCATCTTCGCCTTCTTCGTTTGGAGGGGATATTCCAAGTTCGACTTCTTCAATGTGTAAGTTTGCTTCCAAATCGGCATCAATTGCATCTTCTAGGGTGGTGATATGTTGCTTACGAGCCGCTCTATCCAAATAATCCTTTAAACAAATGCATACTTCCACCGACTCGGGACTTAGTCTTGATCTCCGTTGTGATATAACCCTGCCACTAACAGAAAAAGCGGATTCCGAAGCTACCGTAGAAGCTTGGACGGTTAGTAAATCACGGGCCATGGCGGCTAGAATCGGAAATTGTGCTTCCTTTTCTTTCCACCAAGCCAAAATATCCAAACTTTCAAACTCTTCAAATGTCATTTTTGATAGAAAATCGCATGACATGTAATTTCCCAACTCGCTACTTGGGGTGGTAGTACGTGATCGTTTGGATTGAAAATTTACAAGAGTGTTAAAAAGATTCAAATTTATGTTACTTGGACGTCTACTAGATGATTCTGCATTCATTCTCATTTGATCGTGTATTACACTACTTGATCCGTATTTAGTTAAATAAATTGCAAACATGTCTCGAAAACATTTGTTAAAATAATTTATTTGGTTTTGGACAAAGTTGGGTTCATCATCAGTTAGATTAAAAGCAAACGCAATTTGTTCAATTAGTGTTTCAACCCCACCAACATTTAACGTTGGGTTTAAAGCGGCGGCACAAGTAAAAATGGGGGGAATCTCCTTAAAATATTTTAAAAGTTTTTCCTTCATTGCAAAGCCAATTTCTTGAAAAACTTCGGTTTCAAATTCAAAGTCATTTAGTCGGGTAGCCAACAAAAATATTTGATTAAGAACCAACGGGCTAATAGGGTAATAAACACCGGATAAAAAAGTTGTTGCATTTTTTAAAACCTCAAGCAAATCGGTTATTTTGGCTATAGTTTCCCAACTCGAATCCGGATAAATGTCTGGGACATGACCCCTCTCGAAAAGCCGATCGTGAAATGTTTGCAATGTTTCCCTTTGCCTTAAGGCAGTATGCATCATCATCCAAGTTGAGTTCCAACGAGTTGGACAATCCAAATTAGGACCCAAAGCTTTTTTATTAACAGACTTACAAAATCGTTTATAATCATTTAGTCTTTTGTTGTTGTTACAAAGAATCGATTTTATCATTGTTTTAAATTCTAATCTAATTGGCTCAATAACCTCCAAACCGGCTTGCACGGATAAATTAATTATGTGTGCAACGCAACGGGTATGAAAAAACGCACCGTCTAAAATCGGTGAAAGTAATATTTTCAATCTTGGAACCGCGTTTGTATTATTCGATGCATTATCAAAGGATATAGAAAAAACTTTATTTTCTAATTTATAAAGACAAATTACCCGTTTTAAAAGTGTAAATAAATTAGCACCGGTATGCGGCTCACCGAATAATTCAAACGCGATTGTTCTTTTCATCATTTGCCAATTATCTTGATCTAACCAATGTGACGTAACGGCTAAAAAAGAATTTCCGATATTATGAGGGGAACTCCAAACGTCACATGTAAGCGACACACCATAACTGTGTTCTTGGAATCCTAAAATCATTTTTTCCCTCGCCGTACGCCACATTTTTATAGCATCTCTTCTAAGGGTAGTACGACTTACTTGAGTATAACGTGGTTGCATTAGTTGTTGAATTGTTGTCGTGAAATCTTCATCATCAAAATGGTCGAACGGCAATGCTTTTGTAATCACGAACTTTGTAAACGCTTCTCGTAATTTTTCGTTGTCGTAAACAAAAACACCACCTTGCGGTGTAAGATTCGATTGACTAGGATCCGATCTTGAGCGAAGTGCCTTGCATGATTTTGTCAAATGGTTCTTCAACGTTGTGTTTCCTTCCGATGCAAGAAACTTTAGACAAAGTTTACAACGCGCCCTCCTCGAGCCATTTGACATCTCACATAAATCGTAGTGATCCCAAATATCTTTGTTTCGAGTGTGTTCGATCACTCTCACGACTTCAAGGTTTCCCCCGACGGAAGAATCAACAGTGTTACTCATGATGAATAAAAAATTACAAAACTAAGATTTGAGAGATGTTTAAGTGTTGTGTAATAAGATTTGAGAAAGTTGTAATCAACCAAATACATCCCCAACCTATTTATACATGTTTAGGATGGTAAAATAGTAATTTTTTAAAGAAAAAAACGGTCACAAACGGCTATATTAACGGCTAGTTTTTTAAACCCATACCAGTTTTTTTTTCGGATAAAAACCGGTTTTTTAACCGGTTTTTTTCAAACCGGTTTTTTATCCGGTTAAAAAACCGATCTGAGTTTTTTTCTCCAAACCGGTTAAAATAACCGGTTTAAAAAAATCCGATCCGGTTAAAAAAAAACCGGTTTTTCCCAAAACCGGTTTCGGATATTTTTTTCGGATATTCGGATTTTTTGTGCACCCCTAATTAGAACCTCAGATTTTTCAGATCAAGGTTTCATAATCGGGATTACTTTGAGTTAGAATTAAAAAGGTCAATATCTTCATACAACTGTTACTCTAATGAAAGTTTATTTGGATTTATAATTTTAGCTTAAGAATCATCTCACTAATGTAAGTTGGTTGTGCAAGACCCACAAAAGATCCTTTGAATCCGAATAACATAGATACCATAGTTTTAGAACTAATAATTTACTTCTTCCATGTTCCATTCATTGTTACTGACCCAAAATTTGTAACCGAACAGAGAGTAGGGACACTTAAGAAGAAGATGCATCATCGTCTGATCTTAGTGAAGGGACAAAACCTGGACATAGCAACAATACCTGTACATAGAAGAGTCAATGAGGATGGCATTGGACACTGGTGCTAGTCGAGAGCACTGCAAGCCGAGCGGAGAATAAGGTTCGAACCCTTCTGGGCTCGACTAGTAAGCCGAGCGGAGCACGAGGTTCAAACCCTTCCGGGCTCAACTAGTAAACAATGGATACAATTTGGTTGATTCTTTTATTTGTAGCTTAAATGCTAATATCAGATTTGCTCCTCCTTTCATTTGTAGTTAAATCTTCCCTGTCAATGTACTTGAATTGAAGCTTAACATACAGTCTTTTCCTTCTTTCATTTCCATTACACAGACAAACACACAGAGATACAAGCCGTGAAAATTGTTACTAAACTGCATGTATGAGTTCAAGATTACCTTGTGTGGTGCCTGCTGATGTCAAAACTGTAAACAGTACATTAGCAAATTTATGAGAAGATAAAACCTAGCTTCAAAAAAAACCTACCCCTTAACTATAGATTAGCTGACCAAGCAGAGCTGGATCGCCTCCGTCTCCTTCGTTTTTGTCGAATCCGCCAAATGCTCAAGAACAGTACAATGCCTGAAGAACAGAAGAGACATTAATCTAATACTAGTCCAAAAAAAGCAAGAAGCTATATATGCGTGTATATGTATATATAAGACGTTCACCAACCTGTAATTGCAACTACTACAGGTATAAGCCACTGACTAGCAACTAGTTCCGGCATATCCAGCTGCGAAAATGAGAGGTAAGTTTATGAGTCTTTAGATTCAAGATATAAAAAGAATGGATCTGTTAGGCCAAATCTTCTGCTTCTTACCTCGCCCAAGTACCTGTTTCCGAAAGAATTGTCCTTATTTCTCTCTGTAAACTTGGAATGCCTAGATTTCATGGTATCAACAGTTGAATTTAAGCCTCCCCCCAAATCAATAACAGGATAGCCTGGTAGTTTTCTGTTTCTTCCCCTAATGTGTAAATTGTAACCTTTAGTTCCCCATACTTCAAATCTAGAGTCGCACCGACAGATTAAGTCCTTTCCAATCACAGCAGAATAGAGAGAGAAATTTACGTCAGTTCTTCTAGACGATAAGTGGTTGTCATCTTCATACAATGGCGTATCTTGCTTAGCAGACTTCGAGAAAAGCACATGATCCTTAATATTTGAACCAGTGAAATCCAGTATTTTTCTTAGAAGCCGGTAGCAATTGGTAACCATATGGCTGCTGTCTAAGCAGTTGGAGTCTCCATATACAGCAACGCGACCTTCACCGACTTCTAGCAATCCAAGGATAGGTGAGTCTGCCTGCATATGCCAATAGATGGACATAAATTTCAATTTTTGCAAACCATTGATTATTAAAAGAGAAAACGTCACATCTACCGAAATAACTTAAAGACCATCTATGTTTAATCACCTTGTTCATGCCAGAATTCAGCAACAAATTTTGAGTGGCCCCACTTTCCGAGCTATCCAAAAAAGGAAAGCTATGTACATACCCACCTCTCGGAAACCTCAATATATCTGTACCAGATGCATATCGACTCTGTTCATCATCAATAGTAAAATCGCCATTCAGTATCTTATCCCCGAAAGCTATCCCGAATGGAGCCAAAAGATCATTTAGTGCTGGAATATTTGCACCTCCAGTTACTGGTGTCCACCAACTCCTTGTGTTGTCATCGAAAAATCTCATTTTCACCATTGTGTCGACATTATACCACTCAGCGAAAACAGCCAATCCCAACCCAGTATTAATGACATCATCCCTGAGCTTTTCAATCTCTTCTTGGAAGTACTCATCCTCAAGATCAACCATTAAAAGAGTCCCGTATTGGCTAGCATCAAAACATGTTAGAGGAGAACCAAGCGTCTCAACAAAATAGCCAGCATCTCGTAACATGTTGAACATAATGTGAAAATTTGTATGCAGGTGATCCCCGTGCCAATCAAGAATGTCATTCCGCACATCCAATGAGTCTCTTGGAATATATCCAGGAGGATATTTAATACTGTGAAACTGATCCCATAAAACCCGTTTTGATCGTGGAGGAATTGAAACCACATTCAATTTCAACTTAAGAATGCAAATACTACTTCGGGCAGCCCTCTCTCCTTGAGCTGGAGGACTGTATATCCTAACAGTTACATTACCTTCAATCACTCCGGAAAAATGTGCACCTTCTGCCTTAATTTGCATGTGCAGTGCTAAGTAACCAGTCCAAGGCCAGATAATTTCTGAATAAGTAAAGCGAATACTTAGAAGATTTCCTTCCTCATTTGAAGGATACCATGTCGGTGGACTCTGAACATAGCCAATGACACCCATTCCATTCAGCACAGTAGCATTGAATACCACAGGCATGGCACCAGCATAAAGTGGCTGCCGACAAAAGGGCCAGGAATATGGACAATCTGTATAATCAAGAACGCTAGGAAATATGCTTGCTCGAGGTTGGTAACCCTTGAGGATTTCATAGGATTCTAATCTGAAAAAGAAATAAAAATAATCAATTATTTACATACTACATAGATTCAAAAAGATATTATTCTGAATATTCAAAGGGAGAAGCCCCATGAATGGGTGAACTTACAGATCTACCCTCCCTGCACCCTGTTCATACATGTTAGGACCAGCAAGCTTAGCAGCACCCTCAACTAGTGCTTGTTTCATGCTTGCAGGATTCAGAATCTCCTTTCGTTTGTTCTCAGGAATGACACTAACAAGCAGGCATACCACACCAGCAACCACAGGACTTGCCACACTAGTGCCTGATAGGGTTTTACATCCAGTACTGATCTTAGATCCCATAATTTCCCGTCCATAAGCCACAACATCTGGTTTGACACGACCGTAACTGCGAAGGGGATTAACCAAGTTAAATCTCCATGTGTTAATCATAGAGAAAAGGAAAAATAGCCAACATGAGAACGAGAATTGGAAGACTTTTGATAGAATTGTTGATTTTAGGGATTTACTATTTTAAATAATTTATTCTTTCATCTTATGAATTCATATTAGAATACTTAATTTCCTTAAAATGTTTACTATTTCCTTGTTCAAGAACTCTAATTCTTGGTCACCAAGGATTATAAACCCTACGAATATGTAATGCTCTTGACTATTTCTCTCAAGCAATAAAATATACTCCACAAAAAGCCTTTTGGCAAATGTTTGAAGGTTGATCCCTTCGAAGTGATCAAAATTTACTTTTTCTTGTTAATTTTCCCAATCCCCTTCTGATAAAACCCTAGGTTCTTATCAACTTTATAGGATCAGTAATGAGAAGGGGTAAGTTACATATGGTAATCCCTAGACCTGAACACTTTAAGATAAAAAATTGTAGCAGAAGGCTTGCACTGATAAGAAATTCCAAGTCAACAATGCAAATGCAGCCTGAGCAAATTAAACTGAGTCAAGAACCAAGAGAGACACTCTTGCTTTTTTTCGTTCTTTCTTAAAATGAGAACGTGATTATGGGTTGGAAAAGTTAGTGCATTAAAAAGAAAGAGAAGAAAAGGAAGAGAGGCACAAATATAACATACTTATTTAATGATTCAAAACCAAGTAGGATAAGGACAAAATACTAAATATGGTTAATCTTGTAGAATAGAAGGATATGCTACCCATGAGGAATTTCCCAAGTACTCATGCCACGTGAAGAAAATGAAGCTATGTGGTCACTATAGTCGATGCCACCAACACCGATAACATCACTTTGGTCAGCAGGATTGTTTAAAGTGCCATAAAGTGGCCCATCATTTCCGATAGCTGATACCATAATAATATTATTGGCTGTTATTTCCCAAACCTGAAGATCCATAAAGCAACAAATATCAACCGAAACGTCTTCAGATGCATAATATTTAAGAGAGAGAGAGAGAGAGAGAGAGAAGAAGAAGAAGAACATATGGTAAAGTGTATGTGTACATAAATATTGCAAGTTTCACCACCAAAGTGGGTAAACCACAAGTGGCCCTTCCTTATTTGGAAATTAATGTACAAATAAGACAAGCAATCTCCTTCAAAATGTAAAGTATTAGAAGAGAAACTAAAACTTGAATGATAATTTAAGAGAGGTATAGATTTATGGGTGCAAGTACATGGATTAAACACAGACAAAAAATCTTGCAGAAAAATTCAACAAACTTAAATAAAGAATTAAAGCATTATGATTGAAGCATTTCCATGTGCTAGAAAAGCTAGCCAAAGTCAAAAAACATCCAAAATAGCGAAACAGAAAACCAACATTTTTATTTGAAATTTTGCAGTTGCAAAACAAAAAATATAAAATGATGTTTGACACATAAGCCTCAGTAGATCCACAGGCCACGGGAGTGGTACCTTCTCCACAAATGGGAGATCCAAGTAATCCGGTCCACCAATGCTCAAGTTTAGCACGTCCATGTTGGTTGCAATAGCATAGTTGAAAGCATCAAGGAACCAGGATGTATATGACACCTGCAATAAGCTGAGGACAAAATTCTCACAATCGAACCAAACGTTATAGAATAAATCAAATGTTAAAAGAAAATTCTAGGGTATTGTCATTATCTGTTTCTCAGCTGAAATGTCTTGTAATTCTATTATTCTAGTAATAAGCAATTCAAAAGAGCTTCAGATATCTGTCGTTCATCCTAGTCATTTTCAAACAGACAAGTATATAGATTGCAGAAGAAACAAGGAGACACAAAAGGTGAGATTTTTAAGGGTCAGGGGCCAACTTCCAATCACAACACAAAATAAAGAAAAATTTAATACCAACATGCGTTACCTGTGCATCAGTGAAAACTCGAAAAGCATAAATCTCAGTATCCGGTGCAAAACCAAGACATTCTGCATCTTCACCAGCGATAACACCAGCCACAAAGGTCCCATGTCCGAGATTATCATTCAAAGTATCCTCGTTAGTCCAATTAGTACGTTCCTGAAAAGTTTGATCCATTAGTGAATATTAAAGTTCCCAATTGAAAGCCACACTATTAGCTCGGTAAAACAAGATTGGTCGTCAATGTCAAACTACTTTAACAAACTTCATCGATACCAAAGTTTGCTTTCTAAAGAACAGCATTTTACCACTTACATATATATACCTTAATGTTTCGAAAATGAGGATGATCAGAGCGTATTCCGGTATCGAAAATAGCCATTTTGACTTTAGCACCAGTATACCCTTTTCGCCAAAGGGCATCTGCTCCGAACTGGGAAGTAACTTGAGACCTCTGCAATGACAACATAAGTATTCCATATCTTTCTTCTGTAAAATTCTCGTGAAAATAAAATTTCAACTTTGGGGGAATTTACCTGCATCAAAAGATGGCGACTCCAATTAATCGATGAATTACTTAAACCCGAAACGTGGAAATGCTTTTCTTCACTAAAGGACATCGAAGTAAAAATCTTTCCGGGTCGTTTTTGCCCATTCTTAAAAGCACCACCAGCAAGTAGTCCCCTGTTATAGCTCATATCAACATTCACATCTTTAACAAATCTCAGATTCTCAATTTCCTCGACCACGGCTTCTTTCACTGAATCCTCAATCGAAAGCAGCCCGAAATCAGTGGGTAACTTAGCAGCCGGGTTGCGCCTCTCGATCCAGTCCCAGCCATCGGATCGAAGGCTGGATTCCAAGTAGGAACGATGATCGGACGCCGATTTGTAGTCGGTGAACCGGATTAGGTAGTTGTTACGGGTGGTTCGGTTGTGGGTACAGTTACGGGCTAGGGTTTGGTTCCGGGTCGGGTTGAAGGAGGGTTTAAAATGGAGGAAGGCGAGGGAGAGAAGAAGAAGGAAGAGGGGGGATTTGAGAGGGAAGGAGGGTTGAATTGTGATCATGGTGATGACAGAGCTTAATTTTGGCGCGAAAATCCCTTCATGGGATAAAGAAAAGAGGAAATCTTTCTATGGCTTTGTGTCGTCGATCTAAAATGGAGAACACGAACGAAATTTTTAGATTCTAATGCCACGTGGACTGAAAACCCTAAGACGAAGTAGGTGACGTTGCCTTTTTTTTTTTTACATATATATAATGATAGAATATTTGTATAAATAATTATTTTATTTCTCACTTTTATTTATTCAAAATATCAACTTTTAACATTTTAATTTTTGGTTAAATAAATTTGTTTTAGATGAAAATCATTAATTATTAACGGTCAATATATGTTACTGTAATATTTTCACATGTATTTAATTAATGGTGTGACATATATCATGTCATCACTTTGGGTGATATATCACATGTAATGTCATAAATTTAGATAATATATCATGTCGTTTGGTTATTATTTTCGTTTATTTTTTCTCAGAACTAGATTTGACATCGTAACGATTGATTAAGGTGTTGCTTATTTGTTATCATGTTGATCTTCCTTGCTTTGGATCATTGGATTGAATTTGGATACACAATTTATGTTCGTAGATAGTTTTCTCACGTCGCTTGATTCTAATTTGCGATTTGTTAGTGATTTTTCAATAGCTTGATATTCTTTTATGGTTTGTTTTCCAATGCAATAAAGTAATATCCCAAAAATTTGGTTAGTGACCAAAATGAATAAATTGAAAGTTTAGTGGCAAAGTATAAACATAGAAAAAGTTTATGGATTAATTTGTAATTTTAAAAGGTTATGTATATTAGTTTTGTAAATGAATAGTTAAATCAAGTTGGAAGTCATGTCTAAGACACCATTATACATTCGACCCTATGAAGAAAATTAGAAAGAAAATTGTGAATTTTTTTAAGGTTTGACATGATGAATGGATGATTGTACAAGCTTTAGAATGTTGTTTGGATCAATTCAGAAGCATGAAAAAGGTTAAGGGACCAATTCAAAATGTGTAGGAATAATGGATTTGTTGTGGAAATTGATTTGCAATTGATGTACAATGCTTAAATGAATTGATGGAAGCTTAATTCAAGGTTAAATGGAAAGAGACCATTTTGAATATTATGAAAATATTAGGATAAATTCCAAAAAGAATTCATGTTGATAGTTAAATTGTGAAATTGAAAAAATGGTTATGTAAATTGTTCTTTGATTTGGATATTGAGAGAATTGAAGTTATAATATGAAGTAATGATGGAATTTTGAAGTGTTAAGGCTGATATGGATCTTATGAAATAGAATAAGGATCTTATGAAATAGAATAAGGATCTTATGAAATTGAAAGTTTTTTTTTTTGAAATTCTCTACCCTTATACGCATATGTTAATAAGTTATTAACATGTACTTTAAAATGTATGTGTTCTGTTGTAATACCCACAGACCGATACAGGTGACCCGATCCGATCTGAGGTGTCACATTAAGGTCACTGGAGTGGCCCACTGTAAAAATCTCGGATTACAGCGTGTAAAATCGTAAAACAATTTATATTTTAAAAGTATAATTTAACAATATCTATAATAAAACAGGTTTTCAGACCCGGATGTAGAAACAAAATACAATCTACATGTCCTCTAATCACATGCACCGTACTCCGCAAACAACGCCGGCATAACTCCTTTATTGATGTTGGTAGCTACGTTGGTTCAATCCTTTAAACCTGAAATGATGAGTAAACGAGTGAGCTTTGGGAAGCTCAATAATACAGAACTACCAAGCGATGCTGAAGGAAATGCATATAAATGGAAAGTAATAAAATTTCCTTGTTGATTTTAGACGTCTACATGTTTTTTGGGATGAACCGAGGTTCCACTATTATTTCTTTGAGTAAAAGACATCAATATTTCAGTTTAGAGGAAACATTCAGAGAACCAAGTTTTTCAGGAGATCGGAATAGGATGTCTAGTGTGTTCCAACAAAATAGAGTAACGTATATAGATCCTTTAAAAATGTTTTTAGTTTAACACATATTTTAAAAAAACACAGTAATATTCTCCAACTGAACACCATTTATAGTTCCTCAGAATTGCATCCATAAGGACTTACCCTAAGCACATAGCAAAAGAGCCACCCTAAGGGAGTACCTTGGGGCTTATGGGCCTACCCAAGGGTCTCCTTAGGTCCGTAAGGATTTACTAGCTTGATCAGAGCTAAACCTCCATACTCCAGAATCCTACTTGTCGTAACCGGTTTTCGCCCGGGCACGAATATTTTTGTTCTTTGGCACGACATTCTCAAATTTCAGGCAATACCTATGACATCTGATACTCCAGTATTACAATCATCATTCTCTATTTCCTCCAATTGAGAGCGCTCCAATTTAAATTCATTACTACCTACATATATAATAGAAAGCAAAACTAATATAAGTTAGTAACTAAACTTTAATAAGATAAGTAAGCACAATTTGACAACTAATATAAACTAAATAATAATATTACCTTTAATATCGGCCCAAAGCCAATTCTGAGCACACATTAATGCTTCAATCGTCTCCGGAAGTATTCGACTACGATAAGGACCAATTACTCTTCCATCTGTACTGAATGCAGATTCTGATGGAACAGTGGAGACATAAATGCTCAAAATATCTTTTGCTATTTGTTGGAGAGTTGGATAACTATTTCCATTTGTTTTCCACTAGTTAAGAAAATCAAAATCATCAACAAATGGTATGTTGACAGTTTCTAAGTACCTGTCCAAATTGGATTTTTCTAAAATTGCATTATTATTTTGCTCTACAAATTCAGCAAACTCGTTCAACATTGTTCCTTTGCCCTCGGTATTAAAAAAGCCAACAGATTTGGTTTTTCTCTACTTTCTTGGTTCTTACCATTTCTATATCCATACTCATCCACCAATTCATATAGAAGACATCCAATTCTATCAATCTCAACTTTAACACATATTAATCACACAGCCACAAATAGACAAAAGACAACAACAACAATGATTCTTCAATAAATGCATGATGATTTCAACCAAATATGAGAATAGGGGATGCATCATATATGTGTGTATTGTTTCGTACTTCAAGCTCAGGCCAACGATCGGTGATAACTATATATGGGGCTTAATTCTATTCAGTGGCGTTAAAAATGGAGGTTTGAAAAGCAATGATCTGACTCTGTTAGCCTAAAACGTGGGTGCTCAGTCACAAGATAATGATTTGCAGAACATTAAGAAATTAAGCTTAAAACAAACATTGAGATGAATCTAAAAAATAATTAAAAATCAGTACAAGCAAATAAAAATTAAACTATTAAAATAAAATGCAGAGGAGCTTAAAATGAAATTACTACGGAAATGACTTTTACAAAAATTAAATTTCAAGTAAAAAGGGAAGAAACGTACCTGAATAAGTTGGAGAGTGGAGACCAGGGGTTTGAAAGATCGGCGCAGTAATGAGAGGTTTGAAAGAAAAAAAATTATGCATAAACTTATCCCTAATATTTTGTTAAATTACAAGTTATATCTTATACAATATTAAGATTTATAAATTAGTCTCTAAAATTACACTTAAATTCATAATGGTCCAAAATTTAATGTATATTTAGTTGGGCGGGCGGATGCGGGGCGGGTAAGGTCTCAAACCCATTACCCGCCCACTACCCACTAAAATTATACCCATCCCCGCCCCAATTGGAGCATGTGCGGTGCATAATCCACAAAATTGTACCCGTTTGCCATCCCTAATTAATGTTCAATTACGTTTGGGGAAGGATTAGTACCCCCAAAACGCCCAAAATTGGTTCATGTCGATTATAAATTGTCTCTAATAATAGAATTTAAGAATTTGAATATAAATTTAATTTATGATAATCTTATTCTAGATTTAATCGCATAATTTTAAAGAAAAACTTATATAAAATGATTTTTATAAATAAAATATTTATTCATTTAAAAATATCTGAAATGGACATCTAGTTGCTTTAAGACATCTCATTTCTTTGATATTAAAAAATAAATGAATATTAAAAAGAATATGATAATAATTTAAATACAAATGAAGTAAGCATGATATTTATTTATTTTTAAAATACCAGAATATGACAACTAGTGATTTTAAGACCGCCCTTTCTGAGTATTTAAAAATAAATAAATATTATTATTTAATCAAATTATGAAATTATTATATTGTATTTCATGTAAATATTTAGTGAATTAAACATAAATAAAAAAAATAAACAAACAAACAAATAAATAAATAAAGTACTATATTTAAAGTATTGAAAAACAAAGGACAATAATAAAATAAAATGCAATTAAATAGTGACCAAAATAAAATAAATCAAAACTATAGAATTAAATTGCAAAATATATAAAACTTATGGTCCTAATTCAAATTATTATAATACATGGGGATTAACAGTGTAATTTAACCATAATAAATTCATTCGGGATCAAAATAAAAGTTATTAAAGTTTAAGGGAATAAATAAATATTTTACCTTAAATATATATATATATACAGTTAAGGGCTATAATATAATAAAATAAAATTTAAAGACTAAATTGAAATGATTAAAAGTCGATTGCAGTGACTAAATTGTAAAGAGTACAAACTTGGAGTGGCTGCGGAAGTAGTTTACCCACGCGGGAAATTACACACATATCCTCATCAAAACGGTGTCATTTTGATAAGGGTATAAATACCCTATAACCGGCCTTCAAAGGCCATTTCTCTCTTTTCTTTCTTTTGGTTCTCTCTCTAAAGAGAGAACACTCTGCCTTCTCTCTAGGTTTCCCTCGCCGGAGGGAAACCAGACACCGGCCGGTCACCGACCACCGTAAATGGTGGCCAGAAATTACAATATTACCCCCAAGATATAGATCTTCCCAAGCTAAAGTCGAATATGGCCTTTATTTCTCCTAAAAACCCCTTAATATTAGTAGATCTAGGTTTTTACGTTCGACTTTTTTCGGTGATTCTACAGCGGTTTGGAGGCTCCTACATGGTATATTTCTTCTCTCTTTTCTTCCTTGCTTTCGAATGGTTCTTTGTTGATGTTTGGTTCTGCTCATCGCT